AATCCTCTGTAAGAGCTTAAGAAATAAGGGAAGATTGCTTTTGTAACTGAAGTAGCAGTGGAAATTTAGAACACAGTCAGGATTGGGGCATCATTTCAGAAAAATTCAGAGGATGTAACAGTCAGCATAAAGAACATTATAAGTAATTTATAATATAACATGAAAAGGGCTTGGGCTGTTGTGGGGAGAAAGTGCAAGACATAATGGCTCTCATACCCCTATGAAAAGTCTGGGGTCGGGTGGACAACTGCTCCCCTTGCTGCATAGCAAATGACAGCCCTTGTCAGGACACTTGTATTAACTGCCCTATTCTGGTAAAAACTACCATGAGATCATTAATGACCATAAACAATCATGACTTCAGTTATATATCTCATCTAAAAGACACTACAGAACACACTGTCCTACAGCCTCATGGAGGAGGGGGGGGAAGATCGGAAAGTAGATACAAGCAGGGCTTAAAATACACTATGTAAGAATCCAACAGAATGGTGTCTGGGCCCTGATTCTGCAAGCCAATTAAGTATGTGCCTAATTTTAAGCATCTGAGAAATCCCACTGAATGGAAAGGCTGCTCTTAACATCAATAGGTATTAGGACAGCCAGGGTGGTGCACTCGACCACAGCAGTAAATCAATCATTACTTGCACACAAAACAGCATGAGAGTGGAGTGCAGCAAGGTATTTTTAATATAAAAGAAGTAAAAGTTACCTTAACTGTGGCGAGAAAGAATGATTTTTTTCCCTTACATTATAAGGGGAATCTGAAGTATTTAACAGAAAAAATGTTTCCATTTTCCTATCACAGATAATTTTTGTTGGATTTATGTTTAAAAATATTTGATTTCTTTATTTAACTTATTTTAAAATCAGCTTCAAAAACCAGATAACATTGATGTAAAATGGAAGATTTCATGTTTTGCAGCATTTGATAAAATGTTTTATGAAGAAACAACATTAAAAATCTATGCACACTGTAATGAATTAAATACCTAGGCCACACTGTGTCATCAGTTCTTAGGCAGAACGCAACATTGATTACTGCCTAAAAACTGATAGCATGCTTTGGCTATTTAGACAGCTATTGGTATTTAGAGTGATTTTGTCTGGTATTTTATGCCCAACATTTAGGAGAAAAACAATAAAAATACTGTAAAGCCAAAAATGAACCTAAGTATTTTCAATTTTTTTTGCGGAGTGGGGGGGAGTATTTGCATTCCCCTGCAGTGTTTCCAACCCAAATATTTTAGCATAGGTCTACTGCTTGATTCCCAGAGCATGAAGCTGATTAGAAACAAAAAGGAGAAAGTAGCCCTTTAATAGGAAATTAGACATTGAATTAATTTTTAAATAGCCATCATCTTTCAAATCAAGTTTCTGTTATTCAGTTTAAATAGCATTTTGTAATCTTGTTTGAGTCCATTTATATTCCTTGACTGCTCCCTCAGCTATGCAGTTAAGTAAAAGAGGCCTCAAAAAAGGATTAGTAATGCAATTCTGACTTGTGTAGTATAAAAGAAACACAATTTACCAATGTAAATTGCCTTCTGCTAAAATTACACTTCCTTGGTTAGTTCCTGAGTTTTGTATTGGGTCACATATACAGTAGTTTCCATGAACAAAAATGTTCACCCCACAGTAGTTCATTTGAGTTGCAACAGAATATTCTCTCTCTCTCTTTTGGAAGTTATAGGAGTCCAAATCACAACTCCTGTGGAAATACCCACTGGTCGGGTTCTTGAGAAAGAGAGACATCAAACACCACAGAAATCACCTTAAGGAGTTTTCTTGGATTGTTTCAACATGGCAGATGGGGCTTGCTCCTTCCCCCTGATACAACAGTCTGCAGTTCTGACCCCAAGCTCTACAGTTCCCCCACGATCAGCAGGACAGCAGAGTCCTCCATACCAGCTTCAGGACCCCTTCCTGATATTCCTTCCCTCATCCATCACTCCTCACACAACTTTAGAGTGAAGGACCCCACAGAAGAGTTAACGCGTCCTGAGGCTGCAATACCTTTGCTAACTTTCCCATGGGGTTGGAAAAATGGCAGAATACACTTCGCCACGCCCCCACTTCTAGTTTGTCCCTCTCCAGCCCTGGATCCAAGAGGGAGCTCTGCAGGGTTTGGCACAGAAGTGGTGGTTGAATCTCCCTCCCTCTGCGGCGGCCATGCGGAGGGAACATCTGCATTCTTACAGCTGGTCAGAAATCTGTCCTATTTGTCTATTTCAATTCTGCATCTGTTATGTGTATAAGGTGCTAATATTTACACTAAGTCATTCCCTCTTCCACACTGTGACAATGAACAATTTAGAATTAGACTGAAAGGACCAACATTAACCCTGGTGTAGCTCTACTGCAGTGTGTTGAGTTACAGCAGGGGCGACTTTGGCCCAAAAACAGCATACATTTAATGTGCTGAGACAATCTGACTGTAGGCTAAATTTAGGCTAAATTAGACATCCTGAAAGACTGCAAATAATTTGGCTATAAAACTGTGACAGAAATAAAATTACATGCTTTTAGATTTATGAATGAAAAAATACTGTTTACATTTGCATCTCGTTTTGGAATATGCCACATTGCTTACTAGTCCTTGCAAATATTTTCATCTTGTTAGAAAATGGCAGTTCTATCGTCTCTCACAATGTGATTCATAATTAGGGGTATACATTATCTCTGCAATGGCAGAAAACTGTTTAAAACTCAGCATACACATCAATTAGTCTATTTAATGTATCTCAAATAATTTTATTATATTGTGTAATGGTAGATTATCACTATATTACCTATAAAGGATTCCTTTCTAAGGGTATGTCTACACTATGAAATTAGGTCGAATTTATAGAAGTCGGTTTTGTAGAAAGCGTTTGTGTACAGTTGATTGTGTGTGTCCCCACACAAATGCTCTAAGTGCATGTAGTCGGCGGATTGTGTCCACAGTACCGATGCAACCGTCGACTTCCGGAGCGTTGCACTGTGGGTGGCTATCCCACAATTGCCGCAGTCTCCGCCGCCCATTTGAATTCTGGGTAGAAATCCCAGTGCCTGATGGGACTAAAACATTGTCGCGGGTGGTTCTGGGTACATATCGTCAGGCCCCTGTTCCCTCCCTCCCTCCGTGAAAGCAAGGGCAGACAATCGTTTTGCGCCTTTTTTCTTGAGTTACCTGTGCAGACGCCATACCACGGCAAGCATGGAGACCGCTCAGCTAACCGTCACCGTATGTCTCCCGGGTGCTGGCAGACTGCATTGCTACACAGCAGCAGTTAATTGCCTTTTGGCAGCAGACAGTGCAGTATGACTGGTAGCCGTCATCGACATAGTCCTGGGTGCTCTTTTAATCGGGCGCCTGGGCAAACATGGGAGTGACTCAGCCAGGTCATTTCCCTTGTTTCGTCTCATGGCAATTCAGTCCTACCGGCAGTGCACTGTCTTTTAACCTCCAGCCAGCAGAAGACGATGGCTAGTCGTCATACTGCACCGTCTTCTGCCGAGCACCCAGGAGATGATGATGGCTAGTGGTCATACTGTACAGTCTGCTGCCAGCAAGATGTATAAAGATAGATGAAGTGGCTCAAAACAAGAAATAGACCAGATTTGTTTTGTATTCATTTTCTCCTCTCTCCCTCCTTCCCTCTGTGAAATCAACGGCCTGCTAAACCCAGTTTTGAGTTCTATCCTTGAGGTTTTGAGTTCTATCCTTGAGGGGGCCATTCAGTTTCTCATAAAACCACCCCCTTTGTTGATCTTAATTCCCTGTAAGCCAACCCTGTAAGCCATGTCGTCAGTCGCCCCTCCCTCCGTCAGGGCAACGGCAGACAATGGTTCCATGCCTTTTTTGTGTGCAGACGCCATACCACGGCAAGCATGGAGCCCGCTCAGATCACTTTGGCAATTAGGAGCACATTAAACACCACACGCATTATCCAGCAGTATATGCAGCAAACAGAACCTGGCAAAGCGATACCGGTGAGTAGGCAACATCAGCGCGGTGACATGAGTGATGAGGACATGGACACAGACTTCTCCCAAAGCACGGGCCCTGGCAATGCGGGCATCATGGTGCTAATGGGGCAGGTTCATGCAGTGGAACACCTATTTTGGGCTCGGGAAACTAGCACAGACTGGTGGGACCGCATAGTGTTGCAGGTCTGGGACAATTCCCAGTGGTTGCGAAACTTTCTCATGCATAAAGGCACTTTCATGGAACTTTGTGACTTGCTTTCCCCTGCCCTGAGGCGCAAGAATACCAAGATGAGAGCAGCCCTCACAGTTGAGAAGCGAGTGGCAATAGCCCTATGGAAGCTTGCCATGCCAGACAGCTACCGGTCAGTCGGGAATCAATTTGGAGTGGGCAAATCTACTGTGGGGGCTGCTGTGATGCAAGTAGCCCATGCAATCAAAGATCTGCTGATATCAAGGGTAGTGACCCTGGGAAATGTGCAGGTCATAGTGGATGGCTTTGCTGCAATGGGATTCCCTAACTGTTGTGGGGCCATAGACAGAACCCATATCCCTATCTTGGCACCGGAGCACCAAGCCGGCGAGTACATAAATCGCAAGGGGTACTTTTCAATCGTGCTGCAAGCACTGGTGGATCACAAGGGACGTTTCACCAACATCAACGTGGGATTCCCCGGGAAAGGTACATGACGCTCGCATCTTCAGGAACTCTGGTCTGTTTCAAAAGCTGCAAGAAGGGACTTTATTCCCAGACCAGAAAATAACCATTGGGGATGTTGAAATGCCTATAGTTATCCTTGGGGACCCAGCCTACCCCTTAATGCCATGGCTCATGAAGCCATACACAGGCAGCCTGGACAGTAGTCAGGAGCTGTTCAACTACAGGCTGAGCAAGTGCAGAATGGTGGTAGAATGTGCATTTGGATGTTTAAAAGCGCGCTGGCGCAGTTTACTGACTCGTTTAGACCTCAGCGAAACCAATATTCCCATTGTTATTACTGCTTGCTGTGCGCTCCACAATATCTGTGAGAGTAAGGGAGAGACGTTTGTGGCGGGGTGGGAGGTTGAGGCAAATCGCCTGGCTGCTGGTTTCGCACAGCCAGACACCAGGGCGGTTAGAAAAGCACAGGAGGGCGCGGTACGCATCAGAGAAGCTTTGAAAACCAGTTTCATGACTGGACAGGCTACGGTGTGAAAGTGCTGTTTGTTTCTCCTAGATGAAACCCCCCATCCCTTGGTTCACTCTACTTCCCTGTAAGCTAACCACCCTCCCCTCCTCCTTTCGATCACCGCTTGCTGAGGCAATAAAGTCATTATTGCTTCACATTCATGCATTCTTTATTCATTCATCACACAAATAGGGGGATAACTACCAAGGTAGCCCAGGAGGGTGGCAGAGAAAAGAAGCATCAGGAGGGGTGGTGGAGGAGAGAAGGACAAGGCCACACAGCACTTCAAAAGTTTAAAACTTTAAAACTTATTGAATGCCAGCCTTCTGTTGCTTGGGCAATCCTCTGGGGTGGAGTGGCTGGGTGGCCAGAGGCCCCCCCACCGCGTTCTTGGGCGTCTGGGTGAGGAGGCTCTGGAACTTGGGGAAGAGGGAGGTTGGTTACACAGGGGCTGTAGTGGCGGTCTGTGCTCCTGCTGCCTTTCCTTCAGCTCAACCATACGCTGGAGCATATTGGTTTGATCCTCCAGCAGCCTCAGCATTGAATCCTACCTCCTCTCATCATGGTGCCGCCACCTTTCAGCTTCAGCCCTCTCTTCAGCCCGCCACCTCTCCTCCCGGTCATTTTGTGCTTTCCTGCACTCTGACATTGTCTGCCTCCACGCATTCGTCTGTGCTATGTCAGTGTGGGAGGACAGCATGAGCTCAGAGAACATTTCATCATGAGTGCGTTTTTTTCGCCTTCTAATCTTCACTAGCCTCTGGGAAGGAGAAGATCCTGTGATCCTTGAAACACATGCAGCTGGTGGAGAAAAAAAAAAGAGGCAGTGGTATTCAAACAGACACATTTTCTAGAACAATGGCTACACTCTTTCACGGTAAACCTTGCTGTTAACATTACATGCACAGCACATGTGCTTTCGTTCCAAGCTCGCATTTTGCCTCCCCCCACCACGTGGCTAGCTCCTCACCCCTCCCCATGGCTAACAGCGGGGAACATTTCTGTTCAGCCACAGGCAAACGGCCCAGCAGGAACGGGCACCTCTGAATGTCCCCTTAAGAAAAGCACCCTATTTCAACCAGGTGACCATGAATGATATCACTCTCCTGAGGATAACACAGAGAGATAAAGAATGGATGTTGTTTAAATGCCAACAAACATACACTGCAATGCTTTGTTCTACAATGATTCCCGAGTACATGATACTGGCCTGGTGTGGTAAAGTGTCCTACCATGGTGGACAGAATAAGGCTGCCCTCCCCAGAAACCTTTTGCAAAGGCTTTGGGAGTACATCCAGGAGAGCTGCAAATGCCAGGGCAAATTAATCATTAAACATGCTTGCTTTTAAACCATGTATAGTATTTTAAAAGGTACACTCACCAGAGGTCCCTTCTCTGCCTGGCGGGTCCGGGAGGCAGCCTTGGGTGGGTTCGGGGGGTACTGCGTCCAAGTCCAGGGTGAGAAACAGTTCCTGGCTGTCGGGAAAACTGGTTTCTCCGCTTGCTTGCTGTGAGCAATCTACAATTTCATCATTATCTTCCTCATCCCCAAAACCTGCTTCTGTGTTGCCTCCATCTCCATTGAAGGAGTCAAACAACACGGCTGGGGTAGTGGTGACTGAACCCCCTAAAATGGCATGCAGTTCATCATAGAAGCGGCATGTTTGGGGCTCTGACCCGGAGCAGCCATTTGCCTCTCTGGTTTTCTGGTAGGCTTGCCTCAGCTTCTTAAGTTTCACATGGCATTGCTTCGGGTCCCTGTTATGGCCTCTGTCCTTCATGCCCTGGGAGATTTTGACAAAGGTTTTGGCATTTCGAAAACTGGAACGGAGTTCTGATAGCACGGATTCCTCTCCCCATACAGCGATCAGATCCCATACCTCCCGTTTGGTCCATGCTGGAGCTCTTTTGCGATTCTGGGACTCCATCATGGTCACCTCTGCTGATGAGCTCTGCATGGTCACCTCTGCTGATGAGCTCTGGCCAGCGTGGCAAGCTGCAGGTGACCATGCAAACAGGAAATTGAAATTCAAAAGTTTGCGGGCCTTTTCCTGTCTACCTGGCCAGTGCATCTGAGTTGAGAGTGCTGTCCAGAGCAGTCACAATAGAGCACTCTGGGATAGCTCCTGGAGGCCAATACTGTCTAATTGCGTCCACAGTTCCCCAAATTTGACCCGGCAAGGCCGATTTAAGTGCTAATCCACTTGTCAGGGGTGGAGTAAGGAAACTGATTTTAAGAGCCCTTTAAGTCGAAAAAAAGGGCTTCATCATGTGGACGGGTGCAAGTTTACATCGATTTAACGCTGCTAAATTAGACCTAAACTCCTAGTGTAGACCAGGGCAAATGAGGATTCCTATTCTGCTTAGCAAACCACTCAGGCTGCACAAAAGGAAATCAATGCTATTAATATTATAGGGTGAAAATATTTTCATAATACCTAGCAGACAGTGATCAATTAATTATATGTTTTTAAACTAGATTGAGTCAGGAAGAAAATCTCACCACTTATGGCCCTTAATTTTCAAACTATTGAGCCAATCCTACTTCCATCAAAGCCACTGGCAAAAATCCCTTGACTCCAGTAGGATCATAATTGGGGGTGAAATGCTGAGGTGCTTACTCAGTTTTTATTTGGTATTTAAAGAAACAAAACTCCTGCAGAAGTCACTGGGAGTCTGCCTGTTAAGTAATGAATGAAAACTAAAGCTAAGCTCACTACCTTAGATTCACACACTCAGCCATTTTAATTTTGCACCATCTCCTCCTCCTCTGGAGTCTGTGGAGCCCTCCCACACACACATGAACCTCCCATACCCATAGATCTAGAGTCTGTGTAGTGGCAGAGGGCAGAGCCAGGAGGATGCATGTCATCTTCCCTCCAGTCCCTCACAGAGCCCCTCTCTGCAGAGACTCCCTTGTATTAGAGGCCGCTGCAGCCATGAAGAATCCCCAGAAGTGCAACACCAATGGAGCCACGTTGTCAGGAGCCAGAGGCGCCTGTGACTGGAGCTGGTGCAGAGCAACATGGCCTATGAGTGGATAATCCTGGCCTCCCATGAGTCCTCTGGGATCTACAAAGTTTGGAGGTGGTCCCCCTTGACACATTCCCCTTGATTCTATGACACATTCTAGGAGGGCACAAACCCAACCTCATGATACAGTAATAGGCGAGGAACCTTTTGGAGGTTGCTTCCCACAGATCCCCCCTCCCCCTGACCTACGGGCTACACTGTGGTAGTGGACAATCTGGGACACTGACTGTTCAGCCCATAATATCAGTGACCATTTTCCATTAGTGATACCTCAGCCTACCAAGAAGTTTTCTAACTAGGCCAAAACTATACAGCTGAGGTAATGTCAGACATCCAAGTTTCAAAAAAACAGGTTGCAAAGGCTGTTATATTAATCACTGGCTCCTGAGTAAAACAGGTTTGAATGTCATTGGCAACACCCCCATTAAGTTCAGTAGGAGCAGGAGCAAGCCCCATATTTAGTTCAAGAATCTCAGAAATCCTTTGACAAATTTAACCATGGTGTTAAAAAAAATCAATATCTTCTTTGTTTAATCAAGAATCTTCTTATCACTCTAAATGACAATGACATAAATATAAAATAACAGAACATAAAACTCTCAGAATGGAAATAACTGTAGGTGGTTTGGAAAGAGCAAATGCTGTGTTTACACAATTAAGTGCAGCATCCACCATACACTGATCAATATTATTAATTCCTATTTCAGATTCACATATAATCTGGCTCACTGAATTTGTGCCTACATAGCTCTGCCTTGTTTGCAGAAAGCTGAGAGAGGAAAATCAAGCCTAATGTGAAATATGCATCCATGTGTGCAAAACTGAACAAATGTCAAGAGAATGGGATTGTTTGTATTATTTTACCATAGAGCAAAAAGTAGCCACAGATCAATAAAATCAATTCAGCCGAAAAGGTCAATTACAGTGGCATCAATATCATGTAATCACATAAGGATGCAATTAAATGCAGAATTTCCCATGAGTTATAGGATTTAAATTCTCTCAACTCCTTTTGCCAATAGCAAAGATAAAACTCAGGTAATCTCAGTTTTTGCAGACATATTCCCGTAAGCAAATAAACTTAACACTTAAAACACGGACCGAGTAGCCTAAGGCTTACTTACATAGGGGCATTTTACATTTGCAATACCAGTAATTCTTCCCATGAGCTGCATTGTACGTACTCCTTCTGAAGAAGTATTTGTATGGCAGACACAACTGAAACTATAGTTCTTGTGTTATACTCTCCTTTTGGTGTTCCCTTTTACAATACTGGTCCTGATATGAGGCTACTGAACCATGGTGTACCACTGCTTACATGTACCATTTTCATTATACTCCACTGGAATCAATTTAAGGATAACAGATTACAAGAATTATCTTAACTGGAAATGAACTCAAACTGCAATCTTTGAAGTGGACACTCCCAATAACCTCTGAATTTGGTGATTTTACACCAGATGAACATCAGACACATAGTTCTTTTGTTCTGTTTTATCTTCTAGAGATTGCACTAATGCGGTCTTATCCTTTCCCCAAACAAAGACAATACTTCTGTACACTGTGTAGTGCCAGATCTAAAGAAAGTGTTATGAGGGGCCCAAGCTGCAAAGTTTGGAATCATATCCATATCTGTTTAGTTCTGGGGCATAGGGGCCCAGTCTTGCAAGACGTTTCATGTCCTCACAAGCAGCCCCCTGCACGATTAGGTATTTGGTTTGGGGCCAATTTCTAATTAGGATATGTAGATTGTATATTTTTCAGTAGGGGAGGGTGGGAAGGAGAAGAGAATCTTCAGAGCATTTTCTTGTGAGAAGTGTTCCTCAGAACAACAATTTGTGGTAAAACAGAAATACCACCTCTATTAGGTCATTTCAGGCAAAAGTTATTTATATTCAAACAGCCATTTTAATTCTGTTAGGAAAAAAGGTGGTTGGAACTTGACAAAATACAAGACTGAACCTCTCTGTGATTTGAAACATCAAGGGTTAGTTTAAAAAAAGAAGAATTCCTGGCAAGATCCTCCTTAATCCATGGATTTAAAGTAAATTCCCAAAGTGTGCAAAACAGATCAGTAATATAAGACAGTTCACTATTTGATGAGAGCTGCATCAGGTGGAGAAATCTAACCGTAGTTGTTTTCAACAGCTTTTCACACAGCCCATGAAACCTGCTAACAGACGGTATATAGATCCGAGCAATGCAGTAGCACTTATTCTTTGTGTCTTTCTGAGTGGTTCCTTCAGCTGAACCAGCAATCTGCAAATGATATCAACAAGCAATCCTTCTAATTAAGTTTAACAGGACTTTTATTGTATCCCTTCGTTCCTCTAAGGACTGCATGCCAGTGATACCAAACACAAACATATCACTCAGCACCACATTAGTGACATGCAGTCACAGGACTTGAGCTAGTCTCTCTATGAAAAACTGGGAAAGAAAGCTTTAATTCTTTACAACATAAAAGGTCACCCATTAGAAATGAGAAGGTTAAACATATTGCCTTGCAAAGGCACATAACGAATCAGCATCTGGAGGCAATTGCTAGCCTCCCTAAAAAACCGTAACTCATCCTTAGACATAGTTATCAAAATAAACCAAACCCTCAGTTTTATGCATAGTACAGTGAATTTGGGAAGTTATACTGACTTCGGGTGAAATTCTGGGCTCAGTTTATGTGGCCTCCTGGGATGCATTCACCCCCTGAAAGCCGCGTTAAAAAAGCGCTCTGCAGGGTAAGTGATCATGGAGATGGTCCGCTCCAGAGCACTATGTTCCATGAGTAAGTGTTTTTCAGCTGCTCGGATGTGAGGAAACCTATTCCAGCAAGCAGTCCTGTGCAAAAGTTTGCCTCCCCCTCCCCCTCTTCCTACTGGGTCACAGATGGCTGCAGTAACCTGAGAGAAGCTCATCTGTGGGGAAGGGAAAGAAGAAAGAGGGGACTGTGATTGGCGTTGGCTTATAATTTTATTTTAAATCCACATAGCTGGGGAATAATCATGGGGGAAGGGAGTTCTCTCCTTACCTCACATCCCCACCGCTTCTGACAGCTCTTTTCTGTGTTTTGTCTGAGTTGCTTGGTTGAAATGTCCATTTCTGACTCAAGCTCTTCGAAAGAACTGGGGCTTGCCAGCTGATCAGATGATTCATGATCACCTCAAAATGGGAACCTTCTGCTAAGGATAAATGGAAACATCCTTAGCTATGGAGCCAACAGGGACCCTAAAGCTCTTAAGGGCTCCTCAGTATTTAGGCATACTGGATGGTCCCGCAAGAACTGCATTCACTGACAGACATCAGAGAACTATGTATCTAACAATCTACTTCCATGTGCAATTACCCACTTGCATATATAAATATAGGGGGTAGAATGGGGCATAGCCACTGTGAAAATTTGACCTTCTGGACCCAACCCTCCTTTTAGACAATTGGGTTTATTTTGCCATGCAGTATCTAATTTTCAAGCAATACAGAGCCCTCCCTCCCCCAGACAAGCAGGTCAGCCTTAAGTATCATCCTGGCTAAGATACCACATGTGGTATTGCTAGTCTTTCTTGGACCACTTGAAAATTAGGGATAGCCTCTAACATGTACTGAGGGATTTTTTTCTGTTTTATGAAACTCACACAAAGTCCTGCATTACTAAATCCCAGGGGATCATGACTTCCATATAGAATTCAGTCCATTTTTAAACACTTTCTCAAAATGTTTACATCATTATCATCACAATGAAATACAGAGCAAATAAGCACCTTTATAACACACATTAACAGACCACACATTAACTACTAGACAAAAATCCTGAAAACATTTGTATGGCGAAACAAGTTACCCTCATGTCTAATGTAACTGTCCCCAGTAGTCTCAACAGGAACTATTAGTAAAGGTGCAGAAAAAAATCCTAATAGACTCAGTGGAGAGTTGAAGACACTACTCATAACTCCATCACTCCTTTCTAGTATTTAGGAACTTAATTATTTCCCAGCCTTCCCAGTAACAAATGATAGCATCTTTAGGTTCATGATACCCATCACTCAGCAGCTGAAAAATAGCTTTCCCTTGAAGGCGTTCTGGCACATCAACACAATTAGTTTTAAACAAGTACCAACACACATCCGGAGGAATGATAATGGCACAGGGATCAGCAAAGCACACTTACAAAAAGAAAATTGGATACTAGAGGGAGAGAAACAGGGCCTATAGAAAAAGATCACACTGTGACCATGGCAGCCAAATATTAGGAGTAGCAAAATGTTCAGTGATTGTTTACTGCATGGTACCCAAGGATGTGAGAAATGCACACTTTCCAGTTTGCCTAGGATGGCACAAATCTTAGCGCTGGAACTGAATCTTGGAGAGCTAAGCAAGATGTAACAAGCAGGGTTACCAATAAACACCCAATACTGGCTTTTCTAGCACCACAAAACTCCCATTAATTTCACAGGGAAATCCAGTTTACAATCTGATTTCAATGGGATCTATGGGTGTCCAGCAATACAATATAGCTCAAAAATGATTTAAAATATTTTTCAGACAATACTACACCAAAATGGCTGACCACTGAGCAAGTTCCTTAAACCAGATATATTTCTCCATATAATAAAACAACCTAGATCCTGTCTGCAAACATTGTGGACGGTTTCTTCAGTCACCTCTATTAGAGGTAGCTCAAATCCAATGAAAAACAAAAAACACAGACATCCTGAAAAGCTACAATAACTTTTTCTTTTCTGCCAAAGTAGTAAAATAATCAGTGCAATCATCAAGGTCAAGATTTTCAAAAGCCACTAAGTAGTGATTTTGGCCATCTCAATTTCTGGGTGACAGTTTGAGACACCTTAAAAGGCAGGTGCTCAGCGCTGACTGAAAATCAGGCCTCTTCAACTTCTCTCAGTTTGAGCACCAAAAAAAATGAAGACACCCAAAATCACTAGTCATTTTTGAAAATCTTTCCCCACTCCTTTTTCTGCAGGCAAAACAATTCCTTTGTGTCACAGAGCAACAGATATAAAGTATAAAGAGATTTTTTTGGTTGGTAGTTCCACTGAATTGACTCTGTCCACTACATGCATCCGACAAAGTGGGTATTTACCCATGAAAGCTTATGCTCCAATATGTCTGGTAATCTATAAGGTGCCACAGGACTCTTTGCTGTCTGTTTACTTTGTCTACTTCATACCATATTGCTTGTAGAAGCTATGAAAAATGCTAATCCTCTATAAGACTATGAATAATAAAAACTTTACGAAACATAAATTACACTTCTTGCCTTCAAACATACTGCATAAAAATACCATTTATTATAGCAGATGCTCATGAATTAAAAGGCAAAAACCCAATGGTTTGGTTTAGAAGGTTCTCATAGAAGACTTAGATCTCGATCTGCCTCTCTACTACTGCAATTTTTATGACTTTTTATCTTTAGCCTTGTGATCCATATATCCTTGATCACCATCGTGCCTATAAATAACTAATGAAAATAAATGGATGCAGAAGTAAATCCTCAAGTATAAATTGCTATATAATACCTGAACTGTACTATTTGCAGTGAGGAACATACATGCCAGAATAACATTTATCTGAAGCTTCTCATTTGGCACACAATAAAAATATAACAATGCTCATTAAATATGCAAACAAAAAATTTTCAAAAAACCCCAGACCAATCCCAGCTGTATCATATACTTTTCTCACTGTGTATATCTGTAGCTACCATTTCAGAAATGCAGGAAGTCTTTAACTGAAAGGCTAATACTCTTTAGCCTCCCTCAACCTCAGACTATAAAATATGCAAAAATTCTGCTTTGTCATAACGCTTTGCAAAAATGAGTGCTAAACGGGCTCAAATTGTTCGTGGTGCTTGAGATCTTCCTACAAGATGCTCAGCATCCTAAAATCCGGTTGAAGTCAGTCCAAGGAGAGGGAATTCAGCACCTCGCAAGATGCCCATTTAATGAGCCCTTTAAAGAGCTAGTGCTTATTTCAACTGCTCTGAAATTTAAAGCCCTTTTCATATACTTTCATTAGAGTGAAGTGTACATCATTCTATTTAGGCAGGAAAACAAAAGGTACCTTCAGTTCACATCAATTGTCTTTTGTAGTTTCTTTACTCAGGCTCCACTGTGCAGGAGGAAACTGCCACTCACTCCCTGAATTCATTATAAAGCTGTATCAATATAAAATCAATAATGGAGGGAAATGAAATAGTGTTCATACTGTACGCATAACACACCCCAGAACAGACATAGTGGGCTCAACTGTGCTCCTATCAACATTAAGGACAAACTCCCATTGACTTTAATGGGAACAAGATCAGGCCACATTATATCAGTATAAATATAAACTACAGATATGAACTGCATTCTCAAACTATGTAATAATATTTTCAATAGTTGATTAAGGGCCCAGTCTTACACTCACTAAAGCCAACAGTTTTAACATTGACTTCAGTGGGATTAGGATTAGGCTCAAAGACAGAATAACTACACTAAACTAAATTAAAAGAATAGCAATGCCATTGTATAATTTTGGTTGTATTTCCATCATCAATAAATATTTCTTATGGCCATAATGTGATAATTTCGGGAATCCAATCCTGAAGGTCCCACCATCAATTTCAAAGGGATCTTCTCACATGGACTGTTCGAAGATTAAACCAGGGGTGAAAGTAATTTAAAAGATTTATCGGTACACAGGGTGGCCGGGGTCCTTGGCAAGGTAGGGAGGGGTGGTTCTGGGCCCCAGAAGGGGTGGGGCTTTGGGTAGGAGGGGCGGGGCTGGGGCCAGACTCCCCCAGCCAGCCCTTCAGTACTGCCCGACGTGCACCACCCAGGGCTCCGGCCGCTGGCGTGTTAGCAGCAGCAGCAGCAGCCGGGAGCCCTAGGCCCTTTTAAATTGCCGGGCCCCAAGGCAGCTGCCCCCCAAGTCAGTGGCCCTCCCGGTACGGTCGGCTGTGTACCGGTGGCCACTTTCTTATCGGTACGCCATACCTGCTTACTTTCACCTCTGGACTAAGCCCAAACTTCATACTCACTAGATTTATTTTTATTGATAAGACTACAAAGAGGCACCTATCTCATTCTATGTCAAAGCTCTTTACGACGTAACTTACAAAATCAAATACACCCTCCCAAACTAAACATAAAAATCCCTGCAGCACACAAAAGAGAAATAAAGAAGAGCTTTATCCATCTTTTTCCACACAGCCCAGTAAAAAAAATGTCGGACATTGCAGCATTAACAGTTCTGTTTAAGAAAAATATGACTATGTGTAGTATTTTTGAGCACCCTAAGGAGAAAGCATGATCCATTACTTAGTGTGCTAGTTTAGCACTTTTGAGATGTAGGTTCAAATCCCTGCTCCACCAGAGACTTCCTGTGTGACCTTAGGCAAGTCACAGTCTCCCTATGCCTTAGTTCTCCATGTGTAAATGAGTATAATAGCAAGTCCCTACCATACAGGGGTGTTGTGAGGAAAAAACATTAAAGATTATGAGGTGCTCAGATACTACAATAATGGGGGTCATGTAAGAACCTGAATTAGACATAATTTATAAAGTAATTAGATTTGTAGTTGCAAACTTCCTTTAACCAACTGATCCCTAATTTGGTTTCAGTGGCAATGTTATGCCTGCGCAACTGAAGGAATAATTAAACACAATTTTTACTTACCTACTTTCCACCGGTCAGAATCTTTTATCAGATTTTGAAATGTAACTTAACATCTCTCTTCTTTTCTTTTTGTTTGTTTTGCTTTGCTTTGCTTTGTAAAGGACCTGTTGCAAAAAAAGTCCTCAAGGCACATTATAATTTTCCAGAAAAGAGTTTAAAATAAAATTAATTCATGCACCTCAGTACAAAATGATTTAATGACTCGTCTTTATGAACTAATATGTAATCCGAGTTCTGAATACATAGAAAGCATGGAAGTAATATATAAAGTTTCATATTTGCACCTGGTTCCCAGGTAAAATCTTTTAAGTGTTTAACCAGGAATTAAGTTGTCAAGAGTTATTTTCACCTCATATGATCTTTGTGGAAATGAAGGTAGGTTCATTTCCGTCTCAGTGATTTAAAAATAACGGATTTCTCCACAATTGCTTGTTTCAAACAAAGATGCACAAATATGGGTAAACCATTAAACAAGACCCATTCACTGTAAAGCCAAAAATATTTGGTCATTCAAATACATCAACAATAAAATGCATACCCTGAGCCATGTCTACAAATATTATGAATTTGGATTTTGGTCACTCCTATTATAACAAAAACTATAGTATCTATGCTGGATGTTATGTCAATTTTAAAAAGCTAATCCATGTTTTGACATATTACTTTTTTCATACCAATTGCAATAATTTAGGCCAGTATTTATGTTAGGATACAGTGAAAGCAGAACAAACACTGGACCAGTCAGAAATGGGTCCTGAGGAATTGCATTACTGAAAGCTAAAATACCAAGTAAAGTTCATATTTAATTTGAAGACTACCAACAAATTTCCACAAGCCTTATTTTAATACTTTGTTTGCACTGAAAATTGGCTTCCCAAACTCTGGGATCACTAAGAGGCCACATCATAAATCAAGGCTATGCAGGAAAAACTAGGCATGCCCAAAATAGGCATTTCTAGA